CTGAGGGACAAGGAGGAGTTTGTGTCAGTCCTGGAACTGGTGGAAAAGGAGTCTGCCGATCATGTTGGTAAGCCGGGTGAAAACGTCATGAAATGTCTTTACCGGAAGGGTAGCACTCCGACCCTATACGTAAAGATTGTCGACGAAACGGAGATCTATCCCCCGAAAAGAGACGAACCCGTGGACCATAGAAAGTATCTGGATAAGAGGTTTCACCTTGACGCGATCGTCAGGATCGAAAGCATCTATGTGTCTAGTAGTATAACCTCCATCCAGGTGAAGCTGTATGAGGCAAATATATTGGAGGAAAAGCCTAAAGTACCGAGGAAGAGACTTTTACAGCGACGGGATTAGTCGGATACGGGAATGCCAGCAGAACCAATTTTAATGTCTGTAAGAACATTAAAATTTAAGAAGCATCAGCATTTTCCCCTTTTTCCGGACAGCTTACCTTCGAGCTGATCACGTGCTTTCCGACAGTGATTCCACCACTTAGTATTCCGATGAGTGGGATGTATGGTGTTACATAACTGACGAGGTTTTTTATATCTTTTCTGAGCAGACTGTTCTCCTCCAGTTCTTTTTTCATTCCTTCAGAATCCTTAACAGCATCCAGCGCTTCCATGAGTTCAGAGAACTTGGTGATGATAACGTCGGTCAGTTGATTGTTTGTGTTTTCCAGCTGTTGTCTTTCATAGTCTTTGTATATGTTTTCCAGCGTCTTTTCAGATGCCTTCTTGATATATTTTGAGGTGTACTTGATTTCGCCCGCATCGGTCAGCTTCAGTAGATTTTCCCTTAGATCGCTTGCAACAGATGTTTCAGTCGTCTCGGGTTCTACAGATTCGAATATGGTTTCCATTTCCTTTATTTAATATGCGGAATAATTGTTTTGTGGGTATAGGGTCGGCGTAATAGTATTCCCAGTCTGGCGTAATCGTTGTTTTTTAGCGTACTGGTGATTTCCTTCCTTTCCTCTTTTTCCGTATTTGCGAGGTAGTCATCCATTATGATGTTTGTATCTTTTGCGCTCGGGTTGTAAAAGGTTACGAGTTTGGATATGTTTTCTCTATAGGGTTTCGCAACGGATGTGAGCTGCTGGGTAATGACAATGGTTGATATTCCCATATGTCTGGCGCTGAACCCAAGTTTTACCAATTCGCTAGTCCTGTTTTTGACGGATTGACTACTTGCACAGTCATCAAGAACGATAAGGCTGTTTGTTCCTTCTGCAAACTGTGAAATGTATTCTAAGCATTGATTTACATCATCTTGTTTGCAGGGCATGACTATAAAGTCCTTATCCTTATTGTATTTCCAATCCTGATACGTTCTATTCCATTTATATGTGGGACATATCAGAAATATGTACTCGAAGTGGTTTTTGTAGTCGTTCTCCAACATTTCCAGTAGGTAGTAGGTTTTTCCACATCCGGTCATTCCAAGAATGATCATGTTGAATGGTGTTTTCAGCGGTTCCATCTTTTATTTAATAATTAATACCTTGAAGGGTCTTTTCACTGATGTTTATGAGTCCATCGGATAGCACAAAGATGTTGCAGAGGATGTCTTCGGTCATCGCATCGGATGTAATCTCCAGAAGAATTCCTGGATTGTCACCAAGAATCTTTTTTCCACTTCCAACAGTGTGACTGTCATCAACAGCTCTTAGATCAACCACCAGTGCGAACTTGTCCCTGTAGAATTTCCTGACGCTTAGGTCGTCATTACAGGTGTTGTTGGGTATTCCGAACAGTCTTTTCGCCTCGTCGTAAAAGTTTTCATATCTTAGACCTTGACTGTATACAGCATTCGGTTTCCCCTCTATCGTAACCTTTACCTTTTCAATGTTTGGGTAGACGTATTCCTCGCTGTCGGTTACCGTTCTTTTTCTGAAAAGCAGAACGAGAGCTCTCATGCTCTCCCTTGGGACGTCTATACTCTCGTTAAACCTTGTAGCATCTTTTGCCCATACGGTTGTCTTCAACAGTGTTGCATGTTCGTAGGACAGAGATCTACCGGTCTCGTATCCCTCGTTTACCCGTTCGGCTAGTTCTTCGTTCTCGATGGTTTCGTATTCCAGGTGTATGTTCTTCAATGTATATCCTTCCACCTTCTCGTTTGCCTGTGCAATCATAATCTTGTCAGCTTTTGGAAGGGTTATTGTGTACTCGAATCTGCTCTTCATGTCATACGGTGCGTAGGGACCGTGATCGTTGAGAATTTTTCCAAGTTTCATTTTTTGCTCCTTATATACTTTTGCCATCACCAGGTCGTAGACACCTTCCGTTTTTGCGGTCTGATTGGCACTGTCGTCCTTCGACAATAGCTTTCTTGTGTTTTCATTCATAATTCCGTATTCTATCATGTTTGCTCTTTTCGTATCCATCTTCCAGAGGTCCTTATAGATTTCAATGAGACTTTCACCGTTATTGTCATATACTATTTCACCTCCCACCCTTATCATGAGTCGCTCGCATAGAAGTTTACCGAGATTATTCATGAAACAGGATTTGGTGTTTTCGTTCTTGCACTCGTACGATAGGCGGAATGAATCCGGAACGATACAGGTGTTCGGTTCTAGTTTTGGAACTACAATCCGGATGTCGTTTCCGGGGTTGGATTCGTTCGGGGTGAATGTAACATAGTTACATACCCTGTTTCCTACAACGTTGGAGGTTAGAGCCCTTTTGAAACCGGGCGTAAGTTCTTGACTTCTCTTTTCCATTCCTTTTATTATAGTATATTAATTATTAAATTTTTCAAACTTTGGTTTGGGTTCGCTCTGCCTACGGTTCGGTTCATCCTGTACTTGCGGTTCTGTTGTGTGGTCGGGTTTGTCCGTAGGTCTGACCCTACAGTATATGTAGTAGATTCCTCCTAGCGCAGCTGCTGTGACTCCAGCGTAAATTAGCGTATTTACCGAATCACCTTGATCGAGGTTATTTTCGGCGTTACGTCTTTCTTCGGCCTTCCTTGCTTTTGCTTCCCTAGATATTGCAGCCAGTCTTTTACCTGATTCTACCCTTCTCGGATCCTTCGGCCTCTGGGTCTTTTCTGCTTTCGCTATTGTTGGTTCATTCATGCTTTATTTAATATACTTGCTTTTTTTAGAATTTCTAGTTAAATCTAGTCAAATTTTAGTCAAATTCTAGTCAGAGCTAGTTGCAACATAACCTTGACTAGATTTCAGCATAACCTTAACTAGGTTTAGCATCTAGTTAAATTCTGGTCAAATCTAGTCAAATTTTAGTCAAATTCTAGTCAGAGCTAGTTGTAACATAACCTTAACTAGATTTCAACATAACCTTGACTAGGTTTAGCATCTAGTTAAAGTCTAGTTAAATTCTAGTCAGAGCTGGTTACAGCATAACCTCAAATAGTTTTAAAATCAGCTTAGGACAATTTCGAAACCAACTTAAAGAAATAATTTTCCATATAATAAAAGGTATGGACTTTCCTATGACAGTACCGGAAGAGATCCGTCAGTCGGAACCGTCTCCCTCAAATTGGTTGACTCTCTTTAGACAAGCGGAAAAGGAGTATCTAGATCTTCTTGTTTTAGAGGAACCTGTGAAGTTTCCGAACAAGCATTTCTGCTCTGAGGGACACAGACATCATCTCGTCTCCGCGGACGGGTTTCGAATGTGTTGGTCGTGTGGATTAGTTGTTGGTAGGATTCTCAATCCCGATTACAGCTACGATTGTAGGGACAGTGTGATTACGAGAAGTCGGGGAATAGACATTGATGGTAGGTTCAAGTTGTTCTGTATCAAGAGGAAAATAACATATTCCGATCTATCAGCACATGAAAGACGTTTGATAGCAGAAAACATTCGGAAAGTTTATAAGGCAGAAAAACCTGAAAGAAAGAGACTTCCTAATCTCAATATTCTAACTTACCAGATATGTAAAAGACATGACATAAAGTTAAACGAGAAGCTTCTTAATATTCCAGTAAGCAAGGTTCCACACGACCGGTGTAAAAAAGTATTCCAAACACTGGGCTGGGAATACATTGACCAGTCATCGTCCCTGTAGGCAGTGATGTATACCTAACGCCCAACGGTATATAGTTCTGTGACGTGGGGGATTGGTAAAAAAAAGAAAAAGAATTTTAATGCTTACTTAACATTAAAATTGGAATAGTAATTTAAGGGTGATGATGATGAGAAGAATTTCAACCGTTATCGGGATGAGTAGGCAGAACACCAGACTCGTCCATATTAGTCTCCGTAGTATTCGGGTTCCGATCATTTGTTTTATCATACTTTTTTACCGTTGTACTAACGTATCCGATTTGGGTGTGAGCATTGATAGTGAGATCACCACGTTCTATACCAATTCCGAAACTGAACATTTTCCTTTTCCGATGGTTCTTGTCGTACTTCACGCCGTTTGTGGTCTCAGGTTTTGTGTGTAAACATCCCATTTTATATATTCTTCTTTTTATTTTTCGCTGACTTTGGTTTTTCTTCCTTCACAGTTTTTGTTGACGGTCCCGCTTTACCTTCCTTACACGACGTAACGTACTTGATGTTGGTTGTCTTGGATTTAACGTAACCGAGATTCAGTCCGCCTTTACTGAGTTTTATATCGACGTTGACGGTTTTGTCCCTTTTTAAATTTTCCTTAACTTTGATTCTATCGCTACTCATTTCTTTTATTAATACGAAAAGAAAATCCATCTCGAAGTGATAACCCCACCGACAAACATAGTGCCGAGAAGGTAAATCAGATTGTTTGATACTTTCGGTAGTATGCTTACCGTGTCAGGATGTGGTATGGGGTTCCGGTCTTTGTGTGGTATAGGGTTTTGGACTTTTACATCCGGACTTTTCTTTATCTCCTTAGGCTTTGAGTAGTTAACGTCCGTATTACTACCAAACCTCATGTCCTTTGTTGCTAGTGTCAGTGTATTGTTATATCCTGCTATCTTTTCCTTAAGTATAATCATATTGGACGGTATTAATATTAATCCGGGTGATATTGCCATGTTAAGTACAACGTTAGTATCCTTTATTGCTTTCCTCATGTTGGAGATAGATACCGATACATCGTCTTGCGCAACGGTGTCTTTGAAAAGTTTGTGAAATACGTCCTGAGTTTGCAGGGACTTCGCTCCCTTACCAACGATGGACCAGCGTGTTTGTGCTTGCGCACCTAATACGCAATAGACATAACTTTCGACAGATTGTTGAAGTAACTTTAATCCTAAAGGCGTCAACCCGTCTGATTTCTTGGCAATGAACCAGGTGTAATCCGTATCGCTGTTGTTAGTGACCCTGTCTATTTCCTGATAGCTAATTCCCATCACACCACCAGTATGGTAGTATGAATACTTATAGTTTCTAACCCTACTCTTATCCGGAAGTCTACTGTGCCAAAGACCTTTTTCCATTTGTCCTTGGTGGAATTTGTTAACCCATGTTTTCCGTGTGGGCATGTTTCTCTGCAGGGATTTTAGCATATCTTTCGTTACATATTTTGTCATTTTGCTTGGATTTCTGAGGAACCTACGCATGTGGTAGTATAGGTGATACCTAGCAATACTCGTGATTATCTTTGAGGTTCCCTTGCTTTCCAGCAGATGTTCTGTACTTATTCCACACTTATACGTGATAATGTAAGCAGCCAGTATCGATGCAAAATAGGGGTCTTTTATATAATTGAACTTTACCCTGGTAATATCCTTTGCGGTACCAGTCCACTTTGTGTCGAGATCGGCAAAGTTGGTTACAAAACTGTTGTGAGAGGTGTTGGTGCAGTCGCAAACGTAAATTTCAAACCTATTTATTTTGTATGGAAGCGGATCCCTGTTATGACTAAAGGTTTGAACGGTTCCATAATTACCCCATATTCTCTCCCATTGGTAAAGGTACCACGTCCACTTTTTATTTCCCCTGAATGTTCTGGATGTGATGTTGTAACTTTCCAGGTCTGTAACCTTAAAGAATATGTCCCTGGATTCTAAAGTTCCATCCTTTGCAAATGTAACCTGAAAGTCAAATTTAGACATTTCTGCACCCGGATATTTTTTCCTAAAATCCTCCTTCATCTTCCGTCTTTCAATGGGTGCTGCCGCCTTTACTTTTTCGTAGTTCTGTCCATAATATTCGCGGAATATATTTCCACTGGTACTTATTTTATTTAATCCATGTAATAAAAATGAAGAAGTTAACAGTGTTTATCGAGGATGGAACTACCAAGTTTTTCCCAGACAAGTGTATTACGACGAACGCAGAGTCGGAATTAATACTAAAGAACGCAACCATCTACTGGGCTTATAAAAACGTACGTTTGAATGTTAACGATAATATTACCTATGGACAAAAGAAGATTACCTTCGAAGATGGCTACTGGACCTTTGATGCAATAAAGAAAAAACTGAAGATAGATGGAATAAAAATAGAACGTAACACCAACAACAATACCTGCAGAATCTATCCGGCAACCGGGACAGACCTACATTTAAATGAATTTGCTCCGCTAATTGGATTCCCAGAAACGGAGATCCTAACCCCCGGAGTGTGGGAGAGATCTCCCTATCCTATATATATTAATCATGGTCTTAAATACATTACTATCGACTGTGATGTTGTTAATACATCCCTAAATTTTGATGTAAACAGTAAGGGAAGTTTTACAGTGAGCACATTACCCGTGCCATCTGACCAGCACCTGAACGGAGCAACAACATTTTTCAAGGATATTGGAAGTAGGGTTTATGTTAATAATGGTTCCCATAACAGATTCTCCTTCAGTATTAGTACGAACATTGGTGATAAGGTCGATATGTCTGCACTTCTTGAATTTTATATCACATGAATAAAAAAAATGGAAGATAAACACTTTGTTATCGAGCAAGGGTTAAGGGATATCTACTACAATCCAGGTACCGGCTATCAGTCCGCGGAGAAGCTCTACCGAAAGGCAAAGGAGGAGGAACTGGACGTTAGTCGAAAAACGGTAAAGGACTGGTTAAAGACTCAAGATACCTATACAAGGCATAAGCCTATCGTTAGAAAACATAGATTTCAGAGAACATTCGTTAAGGACCTAGCGGATCAGGTGCAGATGGATCTAGTGGATATGGGAAAATATAAAAATCAGAACAAAGGATATTACTGGATACTGACAGCTGTTGAGATTCTGAGCCGGTACGGATTTGCTATTCCCGTCTATAGAAAGGATACGAAAAATATGACGAAGGCTGTGAACTTATTATTGGATGAATTCAAGAAAAGGTTTGGGAAATACCCGGAAGTTGCTCAGTTCGACGAGGGAAAGGAATTCTACAATGTTGGTGTTAGGAACCTCTTACAAAAACACAACGTCCGCTATTTTTCCACGAACTCTGACAGAAAGGCAGCTATCGTTGAAAGATTTAACAGAACCTTGAAAACAATGATGTGGAAGTATTTCTACAGCAAAGGAACTTACAACTGGGTCGATGCCATAGACGAGCTTACGTATAACTACAATCATACGAAGCACAGCAGTATACTAATGAGACCCGCTGACGTAAACAAGTGCAACAAGGATCAGGTATGGCTCACACTATACGGTTACGGATTAGGGGAATTTTCATTGCCTAAGTTTAGGGTTGACGACACGGTTCGAATAACGAAGTATAAGAATATCTTTACCAAGGGATACGAAGCAAACTTTACGGAAGAGATATTCAAAGTCGTAAAAGTATTCAGGGGAGATCCTAACATGTATGAAATAGAAAGTCATGATGGAGAACCGATCATCGGAAAGTTTTACGAAGAGGAACTGTCTGCCGTGGACAAAAGGGACGATGTGTATAGGGTGGAGAAAATTCTGAGAAGAAGAAAGGGTATGGTACTGGTCAAGTGGTTAGGATACGATAGTAAACACAATTCCTGGATTCCCGAAGAAAATATTAAGGATATAAAATAAATGGCTGACATTGAACTGGAGGAAACAAACCGCGACAACGATCGCGAAGCTGAAGAAGCTGGAACGGTAGAGGAAGAAACAAGTTTCATTGACGACGACAGGGGAAGACGGGACGAAAGTATATTAATTCCCATCGGATTCAATCCGGACGTTGATGGATCAAGACCCAGCGGTTCCACACCAAACATCAGACGGGATGCTGGGGTAATGAAACGAGCCTATACGTTGGATAAAAAGGATTTCCTCAAAAGGGAACTAGGAGTAAATATCAATAAGGGAGACGGTCCATCTTCCACCATCATCTTTGACAAAATGAAGCTAACCGTAAATAAGGCCGGAACAAAAATTAACGGTGCTACATTCAAAGATGTCAAGATCATTATCTCGAAGAATGGTAAAATGATATACTCCACGGATAAGAACAAGGAATCCGTCGTCAATGAATACAAAGAACTGATCAGGAAAGCTAAAATAGAGCATTCAAAAACACCTGCAGCCTTAGTGGAGGAACAACTCGAACGACAGAATTTAGATGCTCCTCAGGAACTTGTGGATAATGTATTGGAAAATATCGTCAAAAGAATGGATGATGAACTGTCTAACCAAAGCGAAGCCATCGGTAATAGTACAGTTATAACAGAGAACGAACTAAGGGAACTGAGAGGTATCCTGAACGTAAAAGGAAACTCGGGTAAGCAAAAGATTGAGTATCTTGGGGTAGAAAGAAATCATTGGAAAGAACTGGCTAGAATCGAACGAACTGCAGGACGTGAACAAAAGGCTCTCCTGTACGAAGCAATGGCAGACATGACAGAACTAAAAGCGGATGAGATAAGGTTAAAATCAAACGAACGACCAAAAAGACCGAAAGCCCTATCCATCGTGGAAGAGGAACCGGAAATAAACGATCTTACGAGGTTTGAAAGATTTAGGAAATGGGCAAAAGAAAATATGCATGGCTGGAATATCAGCCGTAGCAATATCTGTGGCGGGTATCATCACCACGATTATTATGGGAGCTAGAAGCGCGGCAAAAAAGGGAGCGAGAGCAACGAGCAAGTTTGGAAAAGCAGTGGCAAACCTGGCTGGGAAGGTCGGACCCGTACTAGCATCCGTACTGAACCTCATCGCTAAGGTTTTAGGATGGGGAGCAAAGGGGATTGCATTCCTGGCGAAGAATCTTTGGATTTTAGCTCTGGCACTGACTTACTTCCTATACAATGAATACAGAAAAAATAAAAAAAATAAATAGATACTATATAATAAAGAATATAATAAACAATGGGTGATAGAAAAGACTTTATGAACGAAGTCTTTGATGCCGGACTTATTACACTCGGAGCAGTCGCTGCGTCTGTGGTAAGCAAAAAATTTGCAGGAGACAGTCTTGGAGTACCAAGTAGTCCAAAGGGAATTTTAAAACTAGCCATAGCTCTCGGAGCTGGTGCGGTTGGAGTTCACTATCTACAGTTCAAAAAACTATTGCCGGACGATCCATTTAAGTAAACAACTACAATAAAAGAAAATGACGAGCGTCGTAGTCGGAGGATTATTCAACGCCGTAGCATTCGCAGGGGCTGGATTCCTGTTCAGCAAATTAAACCATAGCGGATACAAAGGTGAAATGAAAAGACATAACAAAGCGTTGGAAAAATTAGCCAAAGCCAAAGAAAAATGGTATGAAAGTCAAGTGGAAAAAAAGAACAGAATTGCAATACTCAGACAGGAACTAGTTGATGCCAAATCGGATATGGAAGTGACAAACCGTGCTCTTGACTCCCTGCGAAAAGCGCAGGAGGAATTAATTCTGGACAAAGAGCCAACAATTCACGATTACTATAAACCATCAAGTGAAAAGGAAGAATACCAGCAGATCACGATTGGAATACTAGGTCTGGGGTCTGGATTCATAATTACAAGAATATTATAGAAAAATGAAAATATTTATCTACATAAATAAGGTTACGCGCTCGGTCTGAATTCACTGTTTTTCCAGATCTTTTAGGTCTGGAAAAGGGAAATCCCCCGGGTATATAAATTTCCTTATATGGGCATTGAAACCATTTATAGGAGAGCTACATATACAATAAATAATGAATCCGAATAGACTGAGTACAGCTCCTCTATTGGATATGGATATTCCCAGCGGCTTACCACCAGCCCTAACACCGACCAGGTGCGAACCTCCACCTCCACCAGCAGCGACAAAAACATACACATGGCGTGAATGGGGTGAGTGGCTAGTCAAAGATGTGCCGAAAGATATAAAAAGGAAAGTCACCGGCGCGTACAGAATATTCAAAAACAAGGTTTTAAGTCTGTACGGTAAGCAATCGACGGTAAAATCAACATTAGTCTCTAGCGCTATCAAAAACAAAACTGCCAAATGGATGATACCCGGTGATGGATTCAAGGATCCCTGGGTCTTCTTAAACAACGCAAGACCTGAAGTGGAAAAGATCGTCAACGATGTTAAAGGTGCAAAGAAAGTATATCTAGTATTAACCTGCGAACTCGTAAAAGAAGACTCGAAAACCAAACAGAAAACATACACAACATTCCACGGAAGAAGTAATACTCACACAATCACAGTTAACATCGGCAGAGAGTATGAAAAAATGCGTGAAAAAGTGTTAGAAAGTCTGGCAAAATTCCAAAAGAATGGTAGTGGTTGGACGTTACACAGAGTGGAAAAGTTAGAAGTGTCTGTCACGAAGTATGAACCGCTGGACGGGAAATGATATACAACGCCGCTCCCGAAACCTCTAAAAGGGAAGAAAGCCATCATTAATATAAAAAATGAGGACGACCAGTGTTTTAAATGGGCAGTGACTAGAGCATTAAACCCAGTAGATGATCATGCATATAGAGTCACAAAAATCTTAAAATTACAGGCTGAAAAATACAATTGGGAAGACATAGAGTTCCCAACAAAAGTTAAAGATATTCACAAATGGGAAGAGAAAAATAATATAGGCATCAACGTATTCGGATACAATGAGGAAACAAAAAAATTATATACGTTAAAACTCGGAGAACAAGAAAATCCTACGGAAACAGTAAATCTATACCTGCACGACGACAATCACTACTGTACAATCAAAGATCTAGGTCGTCTCATAGCATCACAACTTAGCAAAAAAGAACATTGAAAATTTATATGTCTACGATGTATAAATGCGTTCGGGACGGAAATACTCCTAGCTGAACATATAGTACTATGCGAAGATCATAAACTACAACGCCATTATTACCCATCCAAAGGCAGCACAACATTCTTCAAAAACTTTGAACGGCTACATGAAGTACCATTCATGGTGAACGCAGATTTCGAATGCTTTCTAGAACCAATGGATCATGTAGAAGATGATCCAACTAAGTCATACAGAGTTCAATATCAAAAGCATAAGCCTAGCGGATTCTCATACACGATAAAATGTATGGATGAGAGCGTTTACAAAACAAAATTTGTAACATACACGACACAAAATAAGGATGATGATATTGGAAAGATGTTCGTTGACTCACTGGAGGAAAATCTGAAACTAGTGTACGAAATTCTTAAAAAAGTAACACCAATAAGCATGACGGAAAAGGACGAAAAGAACTACAATGAATCTGATAACTGTTATGCATGCAATATACAATTCGGAACCGTCAGAATAAATGAATGGAACGGTGAGGAAGCAAAAGTAATTAAGTGTAGGGATCACTGTCATATTACTGGCAAATACCGAGGAGCTGCATGCGACAAATGTAACCGCCGAATGAGAATACCAAAATTCGTGCCAATACTGTTCCATAATCTGGAAGGTTACGATGCACATTTGTTTGTAAAAAGCCTAGGACTCAGTGAGGGTGATATTAATTGTACTCCAAAAACAGACGAAAAGTATATATCGTTCAGTAAGAGAATCCCTATGGAGACTATCGAACTGGAAGATGGAGAGAAAACACTGTATTTGGAAATGCGGTTCCTGGACTCGTATAAGTTCACGCTCGCATCACTCGACTCTCTTGCCAACACGCTCGGTAAGGATGACTTCTACCCACTAGAAAGTCAAATGGAACACTCAGGAATAGAATTATTAAAAAGAAAAGGGGTGTTTCCATATGAATTTATGACAGATTATGACAAATTACAATATGATAGGTTACCCAGTAAGAAAGAATTTTACAGCAAATTAAATAACACAGACATCAGCGATGAGGACTATGAACATGGCCAAAAAGTTTGGAAGACGTTCGACTGCAAAACGATGCGTGACTACCACGATCTATACCTCAAGACAGACGTACAGCTTCTCACAGACATCATGTGTAAGTTTAGGAAAACATGTATGGAAAACTACGGATTAGATCCACTACATTACTACACCGCGCCAGGGCTCGCGTGGGACGCCGCATTAAAAATCACAGGAATAGAATTAGAACTCATTCATGACCCTACCATGTATCTCATGATAGAGAAAGGAATACGAGGTGGAGTCAGCACGATAATGAAAAGATACGCGAAGGCAAATAACAAATATATGAAAAATTATGATCCGAAAAAGGATAACATATACATACCATACTTAGACGCCAACAACTTATATGGATGGGCAATGAGTCAACCATTACCAGTCAGAAACTTCAAATGGATGACAGAGTTCGAACTAAGCAACTGGGAAAACATTCCATGCATACTGGAAGTGGACCTGGAATATCCAGAAAATCTACATGACATCCACAACGAATATCCACTCGCACCGGAAAGCATAGAAGTAAATAAAGTCAAGAAATTAATCCCAAACTTAAACGATAAGAAAAACTATGTATTGCATTATAGAAACCTGAAACTATATCTAGAATTAGGACTAAAACTAACAAAAGTACATCGATCGCGGGGTAAAGTTTGAAGAAAGTCCATGGTTAGCAAAATATATACAACTTAACACAAATCTTAGAGCAAAAGGTACAACAGATTTCGAAAAGAACTTCTTTAAACTAATGAATAACTCAGTATTTGGAAAGACCATGGAGAACGTTCGGAATAGAGTAAACGTCAAGCTGGTGACCACTGAGGAGCAGTTAAACAAACTCGCGAAAAAGCCACACTTCAAAGGCGTAAACATTTTCACAGAAAACTTAATCGCCGTTCACATGGAAAAAACCACTGTCAAACTTGTAAAACCTATATACCTAGGAATGAGCAGCTTAGACCTAAGCAAAACACTCATGTATAACTTTCACTATAACTACATCAAACCAAAATATGGTAATAATGCAAACCTGCTCTGCACAGACACAGACAGTTTATGCTATGAAATTAAAACGAAAGATTTCTACAAGGGCATCACACCGGATGTTGAAAAATGGTTCGATACAAGCAACTACGACAAAGACCACAGCAGTGGAATACCAGTTGGTAAAAATATGAAAGTCGTAGGTATGATGAAAGATGAATGTGGAGGAGAATAAATCTCAGAGTTCGTCGGACTCCGTAATAAGCTGTATGCCTATAAAATGGATGAAGGAGAAGAGAAAAAGAAATGTAAAGGTGTGAAAAAGTGCGTAGTCAAAAATGAAATAGTATTCGAGAATTATAAAAATTGTCTATTCTCAGGAGCAAAACAATACAGAACAATGAATACATTCCGAAGTCGGCAGCATGAAATAACAACGGAAAGAATTAACAAAACGGCACTTTCGGCAAACGATGATAAGCGTGTTATACTATCCGACGGAATACATACTCTAGCAATAGGACACTTTCGACTCTCCCGGAAGGATTAAAAAAAATAGTTTCAAAAGTAGTGATGACGTCATCATTGAATTCTTTGGAAAATGATTACGTGATTGATGACGTCATCATTAAATTCTTTGGAAAAGAAATGCGTTAGAGGGACGGAGCGAACCTGAATTAATTAATAACGTCATTAATTAATAGACATTTATTGAACCGGTTTGAACCGGTTTAGAAAGCGGATCGAAAATGGCCCAGAACCGGCCTTTCTATACTACTTTCAAATAGTGGAACTTTCTTTTTAAATAGCAGAACTCCCTTTTCAAATGGCGGAGCATTGTTTTCAAATAGCAGAACTCCCTTTTCAAATAGCGGGGAATTCTTTTCAAATAGCAGAACTCCCATTTCAAATAGCGGAACTTTCTTTTCAAATAGCAGAACTCCCTTTTCAAATAGCGGAGCATTCTTTTCAAATAGAAGAACTCCCTTTTCAAATAGCGGAACTTTCTCCTCAAGTAGCAGAACTCTCTTTTAAAATAGCGGAGCATTCTTTTCAAATAGCAGAACTCCCTTTTGAAATAGAGGAGCATTATGTTCAAATAGCAGAACTGCCTTTTCAAATAGCGGAACTTTCGTTTCAAATAGCAGAACTCCCTTTTCAAATAGCGGAGCATTCTTTTCAAATAGCAGAACTCCCTTTTCAAATAGCGTAGCATTATTTTCAAATAGCATAACTCCCTTTTCAAATAGCGATACGAAGAACAGTAATCCCATATCAAGTAGCGAAACTTACTTTTCAAATAGCAGAACTCTATTTTCAAATAGCGGAGCATACTTTTCAAATAGAACAACTCCCTTTTCAAATAGCGGAGCATTCTTTGCAAATAGCAGAACTGCCTTTTCAAATAGCGGAACATTCTTTTGAAATAGCAGAACTCCCTTTTCAATTAGAGGAACTTTCTCCTCAAGTAGCAGAACTCTCTTTTCAAATAGCGGAGCATTCTTTTCAAATAGCAGAACTCCCTTTTCAAATAGCAGAACTTTCTTTTCAAATAGCAGAACTCCCTTTTCAAATAGCGGAACATCCTTTTCAAATAGCAGAACTCTTTTTTCAAATAGCGGAGCATTCTTTTCAAATAGCAGTGATACCTTTTGAAATAGCGGAGCATTCTTTTCAAATAGCAGAACTCCCCTTTCAAAAAGCGGAACTTTCTTTTCAAATAGCAGAACTCCCTTTTCAAATAGCGGAGCTTTCTTTTCAAATAGCAGAACTTCCTTTTCGAATAACGGAGCTTTCTTTTCAAATAGCAGAACTCCCTTTTCTAATAGCAGAACTCCCATTTCAAATAGCGAAACGAAAAATAGTACTCCCATTTCAAATACCGGAACTTTCTTTTCAAATAGCAGAACTCCCTTTTAAAATAGCGGAACTTCCTCCTCAAGTAGCAGAACTCCCTTTTCAAATAGCGGAGCATTCTTTTCAAATAGCAGAACTCCCTTTTCAAATAGCGAAACTTTCTTTTCAAAAAGCAGAACTCCCTTTTCAAATAGCGGAACTTTCTTTTCAAATAGCAGAACTCCCTTTTAACCTTAGGGAGCCGAATTGTTTTTTATGAATATTTTAATGTTCAACTTATTTGCCAAGATTTAATTTTTTGGATACAATCAATGATCCTATATACACATATCATATATCATTTTGAAGCTATAGCTATAAACTTCTTGAATATTGGTATCGCAAAGAGTCGAACCTTATTGTCAGGGGGGTGCGGGTATCTAAAAAAGTTGGACGTGCCCAAGCAAAAACATTTTTTTATGTTTTATGGACCTTTTGTGGAGCATAGAAGAAGTGAATGGTATTTTGGTCCATATAAATGAAGAGATAATTTATTTGGCTTCAAAATGATACCATAATTATATATGTAGCAAGAGTACTACATAAGTTGTCAATTTTTTTATGCCGGAAACTGCTGGTATAAATTCCTGTAATAACACGATTATTACAGGAATTTATATTATTACTGACATCATACCTAGAATTTATAATATTGTATACAAATAAAACAAAATAGGTTATTCTTATATTAACTAGCTATCACTACAGGTAAAATAGAGATATATTATGTGCCCAGTAGCCTTTCCACGACCGCGTACAGGGGGTCCAACGCTCCCTCTTGACGTACTGGGCCTGGGTTCGTTATCACTAGTAGCAGTGATGTCACGGTTGCATGATTCTTACAAATTTGAAAATGACTATATATCAAACAAAAGATTATGAAACAAAAATATGGCTGATACTCCTTATTTATAGCATCTTCATATGCCCTTGTCATCAGGGAATTTCTAGCCGCAACTTTTAGCCTTGTAATCAGCCAATTTGCTGATGTCTAGAAATAATATTTCTCCTAAATTTCGATGAGGGTGAATGATATATCAAATTCTGATATTCATAGTAATCATAGATGCATATCTTTGTTTCAAAATTTACTACATTTGTTGAAAATTTACTTCAATAAATCAATAACGTTATAATAATACAAAAATTAGATAATTTACTTACTTGTTGGGGATTGTCATCACTGTGAAACACTGAATCTTGGTAGCATGGATCAACATTGCACCTTGAAGAGGCCTGAAATTCATCAGCTGATGCATCTGTTTATTCTTCGACATCTCACTATGAATCTGAGTCGAATTCTGACACGTTTTCGGCATGTAACGTGGCCATTACTTGGTTTATTTATATATATATATATATATATATATATATATATATATATATATATATATATATATATATATATATATATATATATATATATATGCTTAGGTAATCCTTTTGGGACGCCATTTTGTATACAAACTGTCCAAAATCCTACAAAAATCGCTGTAAAATCGTCAATACTCAAGCTATCCCTGTGAATTTTGTTTTATTTTGAAGAGGAAGTAATGTGCTTCAAACTGACATGCGCAGTATAATTTTAGCATGTACACTTTTGCTGCAGCACGCCCAAGTATCTTATGGGTCAAATTTGACCCTATCCGCGCCCTAAGGGTTAAAATAGCGGAGCATTCTTTTCAAATAACAGAACTCCCTTTTCAAATAGCGGAACTATTTTTTCAAAAAGCAGAACTCCCTTTTCAAATAGCGGAGCATTCTTTTCAAATAGCAGAACTCCCTTTTATAAATAGCGGAGCATTCTTTTCAAATAGCAGAACTCCCTCTTCAAATTGCGGAGCATTCTCTTCAAATAGCAGAACTCCCTTTTCAAATAGCGGAACTTTCTTTTCAAATAGCAGAACTCCCTTTTCAAATAGCGGAACTTTCTTTTCAAATAGCAGAACTCCCTTTCCAAATAGCGGAGATTGTTTCAAATAGCAGAACTCCCTTTTCAAATAGCGGAGCATTCTTTTCAAATAGCAGACTTCCCTTTCCAAATAGCGGAGCTTTCTTTTCAAACAGCAGAACTCCTTTTTCAAATAGCGGAGCATTCTTTTCAAATAGAAGATCCCCCTTTTCAAATAGAGGAGCATTCTTTTCAAATAGGAGAACTCCCTTTTCAAATAGCGGAGCATTGTTTTCAAATAGCAGAAGTCTCTTTTCAAATAGCAGAGCATTCTTTTCAAATAGCAGAACCCCCTTTTCAAATAGAGGAGAATTCTTTTCAATTAGCAGAACTCCCTTTTCAAATAGCGGAACTTTCGTTTCAAATAGCAGAACTCCCTTTTCAAATGGCGAAGCATTATTTTCAAATAGCAGAACTCCATTTTCAAATAGCGTAGCATTACTTTCAAATAGCAGAACTCCCTTTTCAAATAGTGGAACTTTATTTTAAATAGCAGAACTCCCTTTTCAAATAGCGGAGCTTTCTTTTCAAATAGCAGAACTTCCTTTTCCAATAGCGGAGCATTCTTTTCAGATAGCAGACCTCCCTTTCCAAATAGCGGAGCTTTCTTTTCAAATAGCAGAACTCCCTTTTCAAATAGCGGAGCATTCTTTTCAGATAGCAGACCTCCCTTTCCAAATAGCGGAGCTTTCTTTTCAAATAGCAGAACTCCCTTTTCAAATAGCGGTACATTCTTTTCAAATAGAAGAACCACCTTTTCAAATAGAGGAGGATTCTTTTCAAACAGAAGAAATCCCTTTTCAAATTGGCGGAGCATTGTTTTCAAATAGCACAACTCTCTTTTCAAATAGCGGGGCATTCTTTTCAAATAGCAGAACCCCCTTTTCAAATGGAGGAGCATTCTTTTCAATTAGCAGATCTCCCTTTTCAAATAACGAAACTTTCGTTTCAAATAGCAGAACTCCCTTTTCAAATAGCGGAGCTTTCTTTTCAAATAGCAGAACTCCCTTTTCAAATAGCGGTACATTCTTTTCAAATAGAAGAACCCCCTTTTCAAAAGAGGAGCATTCTTTTCAAATAGCAGAAATCCCTTTTCAAATAGCGGAGCATTGTTTTCAAATAGCAGAACTCTCTTTTCAAATAGCGGAGCATTCTTTTCAAATAGCAGAACCCCCTTTTCAAATAGAGGAGCATTCTTTTCAATTAGCAGAACTCCCTTTTCAAATAGCGAAACTTTCGTTTCAAATAGCAGAACTCCCTTATCAAATAGCGGAGCATTCTTTTCAAATAGCAGAACTCCCTTTTCAAATAGCGGCGCATTCTTTTCAGATAGCAGACATCCCTTTCCAAATAGCGGAGCTTTCTTTTCAAATAGCAGAACTCCCTTTTCAAATAGCGGTACATTCTTTTCAAATTGAACGACCCCCTTTTCAAATAGAGGAGCATTCTTTTCAAATAGCAGAAATCCCTTTTCAAGTAGCGGAGCATTGTTTTCAAATAGCAGAACTCCCTTTTCAGATAGCGAAGCATTCTTTTCAAATAGCAGAACTCCCATTTCAAATAGCGGAACTTTCTTTTCAAATAGCAGAACTCCCTTTTCAAATAGCGGAGCATTCTTTTCAAGTAGAAGAACTCCCTTCTCTAATAGCGGAACTTTCTCCTCAAGTAGCAGAACTCTCTTTTCAAATAGCGGAGCATTGTTTTCAAATAGCAGAACTCCCTTTTGAAATAGAGGAGCATTCTTTTCAAATACCAGAACTGCCTTTTCAAATAGCGGAACTTTCGTTTCAAATAGCAGAACTCCCTTTTCAAATAGCGGAGCATTCTTTTCAAATAGCAGAACTCCCTTTTCAAATAGCGTAGCATTATTTTCAAATAGCAGAATTCCCTTTTCAAATAGTGGAACTTTCTTTTCAAATAGCAGAACTCCCTTTCAAATAGCGTAGCATTCTTTTCAAATAGAAGAACTCCCTTTTCAAATAGCGGAACTTTCTCCTCAATTAGCAGAACTCTCTTTTAAAATAGCGGAGCATTCTTTTCAAACAGCAGAATTCCCTTTTCAAATGGAGGAGCATTCTTTTCAAATAGCAGCACTCCCTTTTCAAATAGCGGAACTTTCGTTTCAAATAGCAGAACTCCCTTTTCAAAAAGCGGACCATTCTTTTCAAATAGCAGAACTCCCTTTTCAAATAGCGTAGCATTATTTTCAAATAGCAGAACTCCTTTTTCAAATAGTGGAACTTTCTTTTCAAATAGCAGAACTCCCTTTTCAAACGGCGGAGGATTGTTTTCAAATAGCAGAACTCCTTTTTCAATTAGAGGAACTTTCTCGTCAAGTAGCAGAACTCTCTTTTCAAATAGCGGAGCATTTTTTCAAATAGCAGAAACCCCTTTTCAGATAGCGGAGCATTCTTTTCAAATAGCAGAACTCCCTTTTCAAAACACCGGAGCATTCATTTCAAATAGCAGAACTCCCTTTTCTTATAGTGGAACTTTCTTTTCAAATAGCAGAACTCCCTTTTCAAATGGCGGAGCATTGTTTTCAAATAGGAGTGATACCTTTTCAAATAGCGGAGCATTCTTTTCAAAAAGCAGAACTCCCATTTCAAATAACGGACCTTTCTTTTCAAATAGCGGAACTCCCTTTTCAAATAGCGGAGCATTGTTTTCTAATAGCAGAACTCCCTTTTTAAATAGCGGAGTATTCTTTTCAAATAGCAGAAATCCCTTTTCAAATAGCGGAACTTTCTTTTCAAATAGGAAAACTCTCTTCTCAAATAGCGTAGCATTCTTTTCAAATAGCAGAACTCTCGTTTTGAACATTGAACATTGAACATTTATTTAAACACGGTAAAATCTTCAGTGTAGAATAAAATACAAAAACTATTAATAAATTTCACACATCACTATATACACACTAATTTCCTAACTAAAATGCACTGTTTTCCAAGATTGCCGTGTGAGGATCCCATTATAATATCAAGAATTGATTAA